TGATCCTCCTAAGATATCAAACTAGTATACAAACACTTCAGGTGTTCACAATGTAATGACAATATATTTATTTATTATATAATCAAGCACCATTTAAATCAAAAGATTCTCATGTGTTGTTTCTAGGTGTGGATAGATGCTTAAAAGCCTCCAACACCTTTATTTATACAATTTCATTCATAGAATAATATATGTTTACTTCAAGTAAACAAATAGAAGGTTTATGAGTAATTGCAAATTCATTGGATAATGTTTTCCTCATTCAACTCTTTCTGCAGGAAGGGTTGAGAAGTAGTATAAATATAGTTCATTTTAAATTAGTTTAAATTCTAGTCATAAAATCATGTGAAACACATAAGAAAATTGTTCACATTAGATCCTCTATAGGAGGCACTCACTACAAGTGATATTTTCACATGGTGCAAAGACCTTGTTCAATCATGATATTAAATAAAATAATTTGCACCATGATAATCAAGCGTAGTTCTTCTACAAAATAAATCATGACATCAAGACTTAATGTAATTGACGTGCACTTTGTCGTGTGTGCACTCAAAATAATTCGATACTAACAACTATACGTAGTATAGCGTGGTAGAGTTCGTATCCACATGGAAAGGAATAACTATCTTTTTATGTAACTAGTAATTAAAAGGGGGGTTTTGATTGAGTGATTTAATTAAATTAAACACGAAGATGAATGAGTTATATGGGATTAAATTCAAGAATAGAAGGAATTTGGTCTTGCTACTTTCCACTTGTTGATATATTTTAGTCGATCATTGTTATATCTATATATAACTTATCCCCTCTCGAATACTCAATCGCGGAGTATCTCCAATTCATCGAGGGTAGTTATTAACAAAGACCGTTCATTAGTAACCCTTACTATTAATCAAATATAGAACAATGCCGTATACCGATATAATAGTAGCTTTTAACCTCCTTAACTCCTTGATGAAATCAATTGAGATTAATAACCTCAACACAACGGTCTCTGTTTAACCAACAAAATTAATCCCTCTTAAGTTTATTAACCACAACCGTGCATCAATAAACCGAAGTTACTTACTTGTGAAACCATCAACGATTAACCATCGGTTCGTTGATCGTTTCTAGTAATAATTAATGTCGGAACGTTAATTAATCATCACTTAGCAACCCTCCAACATTAATGTAGAATGAGGTTAAGGGAAGAATTAATAATCAAGAGGAGAAAGTAAGAAAATAACTCACAACTTTAATAATCAACAAGCTTCAAGAGCAAAACCAAGAAATGGAAGTTTAGCTCCTCATTTGGAGACTAAACATGCTAGAAGAAATCTAAAGAAAGACTATTCTAAACTGAGCTTAAGAGTATAAAGGAATTGGTATCTAATTGTGAAGGAAAGAGGGTGTATTTATAGGCTTTTTAAGGGTGCAGCTTGGGTACTCGATCGGGTATAAACAGGTACCCGATCGAGTATGTGTAGAAACTCGAATTCGACCCATACTCGATCGAATTCAGAGTATTATTTATATGCATACCCGATCGAGTATGTCGGTGTACCCGATCGGGTATAGACACTCGATCGTGGTCAAAATCTTCTCTGCATGTTCCTTTGTCTTCGGATCCGATCCGATTTGAAATTTCAACAAGATACCCGATCGAGTGTAGATGATACTCGACCGGGTATAGACCAAAAAATCAGGATCTTCCCTTTGTCTTGTGATTTTGCACCGTCCTTCCACTTTTGGGGTTCAACAACTGTCATTTGAGTGATAGTAGACCTGTTTGAGCTCATAATAGATCTAAGGGGACTGCCATTATGCATGGTACTGTGGACCCGAGGGAGTTCCTGAGGGGTGCCACCCCTCCGACGGATAAATCGGTGCTCTCCCGGTTCAAGGACGATGCCCTCGGCTCAAAGATCCTTCAAGCTTCCGTCACTGTAAGATCCTCCTATCCTTTTTCTCATTAGTTGATTTGGCTTAGTATATATTGTGCAACAGTTTAAATCTTGTTGTTTGTTGGTTCCCATTGCAGGCTTCCCTCGGACTTGGTGAACTGCTTCAGAGGATGGAGCAATCACATACACAGAAGCTGCAGGCCGACGAGGCCCTGGCCGAATCCCGGAGGCAGCTTCAAGAGGCTCAGGAAGCCCTCCGGTTGGAGAAGGAGGCGTAATGATGTAAATGACCACCCCCACCATAACTAGCTCCCATCACCGGAGAAATCCGCCAACATTTTTATTAGGCTAAAGGGTCAAATTAATAGGTATATGAACTAACTTAAAGTGTTCAATTAGCCCCTTATATAGGAGGTTCTACCCGGCCGTCGTCAATTGGGGCGGTGCTTCTTCGGTTGTTAAATCTTACCCGACCGGGTGGGGATTTCTACCCGGTCGGGTTTTGCTCCCGGGCAGTCAAATTTCTTGTTTTATTCTCTTCAAAGTCCTCTTTTCCAACACCATAAATCCTAAATCTATTTTACAACTTATAAATGAAGATTAAAATACAATTACAACTAAAATCACACAAATGTTTACAAACTAAATAAAACGATAAATAATACACACAAATCAAACATAAAAACATACACTTATGTACTACTAATTAGTGCATATCAGGCGGTTCCCGGTGGAATTTTTTGATGAAATTTTTTGATCATCTTCTTCATTAAGTCTAGTTTACCCGTACCAAATTTCAGCTAAAAATTCAACCGGGAAGGCAGTCAAATGATTTTTTGAAGATAACTGCGCTGTCAAACAGCGCTGTACATTTCGGAAAATCATTTGACTGCCTTCCCAATTTAATTCAAAACGATATGTAATGATAGTTTAGGGACCATTTATTCAATTTACTCCATCTAAAAATGGAAAGTTCGCAAAGTCTAATAGAACAGGGGACTACTATGACCATCTAAAATGGAAAGGGCATTTCACAATGTTGCTCCGCGCACCCTCTATAATACTTAACGCAACTTTCACTTGACAAATTTAACCTTTTCAAATTGGGGTAATTTGAGTTTGCACCCCAAACTATAGTCTAAATTGGACTTTGCACTCCGTTTTTAAAAATATTTGTTTTTGCACCCCAACCCCATTTGAAAAGGCAAAAATGCCCCTCCATTAGTGGTGGACTCGGGCCGGTTCGGGCCCGGTTCGGGCCTGGGCCCGGCCGGGCCTCGGGCCAGAAAAAATAGGGCCCGGGCCCGAACCGCCGGTGGGCGGTTCCGGTTCCGGTTCCGGGCCAAACCGGGCCGGGCCGGGCCGGGCCGAACCGCCCAACTTATTTATTTATTTTTTTTGGTTCTCATTTTTAACCCCCTACCCCTCCCCCTCAACCCCAAACTACCCCAAACCATCTCAAATGGCCCAAAATACCTAATCCAACCCAAAATTTAAAAAAATTTCAAAAAAAAAAAAAAAAAAAAAAAAATCCGGCCCGGACCGGGCCCGAACCGGCCGGACCGGTTCGCCAAAATCAGGGCCCGAGCCCGAACCGGTATCCCTCCGGGCCGGGTGGCCCGAACCGGTTGACCAACCGGTTGACCGGGCCGGTCCGGGCCCGCACAGTAGCGGGCCGGTCCGGTTCCGGGCCGGTTGGCCCGGCCCGAGTCCACCCCTACCCTCCATTGACAATTTTGTTGACCTTCAACATATTCCTGATTGAGGGCATTTTTGTCTTTTCAAATGGGGTTGGGGGTGCAAAAACAAAGAATTTTAAAAACGAAATGCAAAGTCCAATTTAAGTTATAATATAGGGTGCAAACTCAAATTACATCTTTCAAATTTTGATTGATTGCTACATACGTACTAGAAGACTAGAGGTTTGGGCTTCACATTCCTTTCCGTCCATTATAAAAAATTACGAAGTATTATTATTATTATTATTTTATAAAAAGTGGTAACTTTTAATTTTCGTTCTGATTTTTACAAAAAAATTGTCCAATTAATTGAATAATATTATCACCATTCCAAAAAAGTTGGTCATATTAACTTTTTTTTGGTCAATATATGATGACAAATTTTGGATAATGCTTTTAATTATGATATTTGTATATTTAATTTAAAAAAATTATACTCTTATGAAAACATTAATTCACACACTATACAAAATTTATACTCATGAAAACATTAATTTACACTATATTTATAAATTTGTAACAAGTAAATTATACTACTAGCAAACACGTAATGATGTTTTTATATCTACAAACTAAATGATGTTACCACGTCATTTAAAGTGTTTCATTAAAAACCGAAAGTATGGCTAGGCATGGCAATGGGTCGGGGCGGGGCGGGTATTGCAAGACCCGGACCCGCTCCGTGACTTGGCGGGGCAGGTCCGCCCCGGCCCGTGACCTGCACGGGTCCAAACTTGTTGACCCATGACCCGACCCATGCGGGGCGGGTCCGCCCCGCCACGATCTAATTAGCTAGTATGTATTTTTATTTGTGGGAAGTTGTTACCAATTGAATCTACATAAAGTTTGTCTCTAAATAATAATTAAAAATCAATATATTAAATCAAATTCATGATACGTTAAAAATTTCAAAAATTAAGGAATAATTACTCAGACTTGAATAGTTAATCTAATTAGTTATATTAATAATTGATTATATGTATTAAAATTCTATATATAAAGAAGACATTGATAATCCGTCGTTCATCTCATTCTAATATATATTCATATATTATTAGATCAAATAATTTATGATTTATGGTATACACACATATGTATGTTGAAGTATATTTGTAGTATAATTTAAGAAAAAGTATATATACTTATATATTGAGCGGGTCAGGGCGGGGCGGGGCGGGGCGACACGGGTCAATTCTAATACCCAGACCCGCCCCATTGTATAGGCGGGGCGGGACAGACCCGCCCCTTTGTAAGGCGGGGCGGGGCGAACCTGCCCCAAATGTCTCGAGCCAGGGCGGGTCATTGCGGGTCTGTTTTTTGACATCCCTAAGTATGGCGACACGCCGACACCATGCATAACATGTCGTGCGTGTGATGTTGTAAAGAATTTAGCATGTGAAAAGGGTATACGTGCGCGGAGAAAGGGCGTTTCTTTATTATTTCGACATATCTGAAACCCTAGTCAGCTTTTCTCTCTTATTGTTCTCATCTCAAACTTGAGATCTTGTTCTCTACTTCTTTTGCCAATCGGTGAATTACATACATCTCAATACACAATGTTGCGTTTATGGTTTGACGGTTATGTGTTGAGTGATGTTATGAATGCTCTTCAGCCTACGCTAAACGGACCTAATCCGGTTTTGACTTTCTCCTCCAGCGGGTTCCGATTGTATGGCACAGATCGCGAAACATTAACCATTGTGAATGCTGTTATCAATGCTCGGAAAGATATCAAATCTAGTGATCCTGACACTGGTTACAGTGACCGTGAGATTACCATGCGGTTGAATATGAATCGTTTGGCTGCAATTTGCAGGGCTAATTGCGGTTTCATCATCTGCATCGAGGTCAACCAAGGAGAGAACACCATCTCTTTCAAGCCCAGTATGTTTTCATTTTTGTACTCGATTTGTTGTTGTTGCTTCGATTTGATGTAGTTGTTGTTTGCTTGGCTGCTTGTGACTTTGCAGATGCAAACTTGCCGCCAGCTACCTTGAAGTATCTTGAGAATCCGGACTCTGACATCTGTAGGCCACAAGTTAAGAAATTGCATTATCATGCCACTGTGAAACTCCCATCATCTATGTTTACTAGGATTATCGGTGAGATTTGCTGCACCTATGGGCATCGTAAGATCATTCGTTGCGTAGAGCCCAGATTGGGAGCTTTATCAGTTCCTGATCCTGAACCTAGCAGCCTAGCAGATGATGATTGTAAGGATTTGGGGAATGAAATGTTTTATTGATCTTTATTACAGTATTATTGTACTCCGGTAGCTGTCTTCTTCTGAAGGCTAACGTAATCTTCTCTTTGGGGTGGGTTTTCAGTTAGGATATCTGTGACCAATGAAGGCATTAAGTTCTCTATCCGAGGTTATTTTGTATTTGTTAAGGTGGGTGTATGCATTCTCGGTCAGAGCATTTTTTATTAACTTGATCATCTGTTTACCAAGCCAACTTGAGCTCCATAGACGGACTCTGATGATGTTTTGTTCTTTCCATTCCAGCGGGACGAAGCACTCTCCTTCAAGATCAAACAACCGGTGTCCTTAACTCTTAAAGCTGACCTTGTGGAACGGTTAATTTATGCTAGTATTAAGTCTGATTCAGTAACCATGCGTCTTTATCCAGAGTATCCTCTTCGGTTCCGATTCAGACTTGATAATGGGCAGATGTACATTTACACCGGAAAAGGCCATATCGTGGGTACAACAGAGTTTACATTTCGGCATCAGAAGATGACAATGAAGGCCATACGTTACGAAGGAGACAGAATAAAAAATCCAGAGGCGGAAAAGGATGTCGTGCGTTTTGATGTGGCAGTGATACCTGATTCTGGTAAAAGTTAGAGTATAGTTGATATGAAAGATCCGTAAGAGGCTTATCTCCTTGTGTTCTGTAAAACATTTTAATCATGTAACAATATTACAGGAAGGGTTAGAAGTTTCAGTATGAAAAGTAACAGTTGTTGATGTTCTTTATGATGAACAGGAATAGATGTTACTTTAGAAGACTTCATTTGAGATTGATGTTTTGGTATAACAATGTTGTTCTCCTGAAACAGTCCAGAAGAATCATTGCTAGTAGTATGTTTGGGATTACTATTCTAGTTAAAGACATCTAGCTTGTCATTAATTTGACTTTCCATAATACTGCTCTTGTACCTAAATTGTCTGAATTATGTGGTCTTACTGTTTTGTTAGGAAATGTGATTGTTGGGCATTTATTTGCTGCTACTTTTACATATTCAAGAGGTTTCAATAAGTGTCTTTATTCTCTAGTTAGGTTCTTGATTTATTTTATTTTAATAAGTGGTCAGCAAGTCATTTTTGTAGAGAATTATTTGTCATTTTAGACTAAGTTAACTGATTTAGTTTTCTAGTCTAAACCTAGTGCACGTGAATTGCTTTATACAAGGTTTCTATTTTGAATCTGCAGCAATTGAAAACTCACGTGGCTGGCTAAGGAGTAAGCCTACGTTCAGAAAGAAAGAAGACATAAGGCCTGAAAGAAAGTGGAAAAAAAAAACGCAGCTGTTTCCGTATCAGTTTTGATCGGCTGAGAAGATTTCGGGATCGCAGAAACGGACGGAGTAATTCTCGACCAGAGATGGACGTTTCCGAATAGGGCGGCTGCACCAAAAATAAATAGAGCAGCAAGAAAAGGAGGAAGGGAGAAGAAAAAACGCAGCAGCAAGGTCAAGGAAGAAGAGAAGAGAGAAGGGGCGCAGACCAGACAAAACAGCAAGCCTATTGCCTTCCTTCGGGCAGTTTTTCCATCTTTAAGTTCTGCAATTTTTAGTTTAATTTGGTTCTGTTTAAATTTCAGATGAATATCAGTAGCTAAACTTTAGTTTTCCAATTCCAAGTTAATACTCTGTAGTTTAATTTGTCAGATTTTTATGCTGAATGATTTATTTGCCATAGTATTCTATATTTGTATGAATTAATTTCAGTTGAATTCATGAGATCAGTAATTTGGATGCATACTTATTTACTATTCTTGTGAGTTAATTGCTAGTTGAAGTCTGATTTGTTGAAATTAGGGTTCATTATAGTAGCAACTTAGGTGCTTACGAACCATCTAGAAAAATATGGATACAAATTGAATATTCACCCGTTTGGGAAATATTATTCGTGTTGGTTAAAAATTAACAAAGATTAATGCGATTGAGCCTTGAATCTTAAACGTTTGTTGTAAGATTGGGAATCAATTAGACTAATTGACGGCGTTTGTTTCTTTTAGGTATAATTGGTGAATTGGAGATTAGTTGCGTTTGCAAATAATCTATGCCAACTATCATGACGAATAAATTATTTTTGTCAATGATCAATTAAACTTACATGAGTTAAAACTTGGAATTAGAAATCTTTTTTTTAACATAACTGGCATAACTTATCATAACCAAACAAACCGCGCAAAACCAACTAAAATAGGTAACTGTGTGACGACAAGTCTCTTGTCTATCAGACTCTGAAATAATCACCTCCGTAGAAGCCATATAATTCGCTGATCCCGCTTTGGGCTTACCTGAGCCTATGACTTGTAGACACAACACATCAGTTCCTATGTTAGTTTCGTAAGTGTCTTTGCTGGAAAAACACAGCACAAACAAAACAAAAGCAACATCCAGAACGTGGAAAATAAACAAAACAAAATAACAAGAGTAAATAAGTCTTTCGGCTACAAAAGCCGTAACCAGCATCAGATCTTCTGGCGGGGCCGGAGGCCAGCACCCGCCCCATCCTCATTTTTTGGAGAGTCCAGCGCCATAACATCCTTCTCAGCATCCTCCTCCCTCGCCTGATCCTCCCATGTGCGCCTTCTCTTCAGCTCTCTTGTTATTCCTTCCTCGCCTAGCTCACCTGAGACCACACCCTTCCCCCACCCGCCTTAGTACTCTCCCTGATCTCATCCGAGACCAACTCCTGTTCTGGCCTCCCCATACTTGACAAGTGCGACTCCCCGCCGAAAGAGCTTCCTTCCGTTATCAACCATTTGCCGCCTAAATTTGGCTTCCCCTTCCTTCCCCTAGCTCTAAGCCACTGCCCAAAAGATTTGGTCACAGCGTGTCCCTCCTTTTAATACAACAGCGGGCAAAATTTCTCTGCATGTCTAATCATACCACAACAAAAGCATAAACTTGACAGCTTTTCATACCTAAAATCTACCCAATGCCCTTCACCTTTGCTCTTCCTTAAATTAGTTCGAATCTTTATAGCCTTAGTAGTATTCATTCGAACTCTCACTCGCATATAAGGCTCCTTTTTGTTGCTAGATTTTTGTTCATCCCAATTGACAAATTCTCCCAAATAATTCCCTATTCTTCTTGCCGTTCCCAAATTTTCAAAACCATATGGCATGTTATGGACCTGAACCCAGATCTCAAATTCATCTAGCACCATCTTAATTGGAATATCACCCGGTTTAACAGCCTTTAGCACAATTAGACTTTGATCATATAGCCATGGTCCATTTTCCAGGACCCGATTCATATCAATACAGTGAAAAAACTTAAACAAATACCTCCGTTCGCCAATCTCTTGTATGGTCATTCCTTTGCCCGGGCGCCATAGATCTGCCATGAAGCCCCAGAAGAATGGAAAACGGATAACTTTATCCGTGAGAATCGCCCCAACCACCGGAAATTCCTTTGCCTTCACTACCGGAAATATTTGATTCTAATAACTTGAGAATTAGTAGGGGATCGACTAATTATTTGAGAAATATTTTATCCAAACCCCCTGTGGGATCGACCTGAACTTTCCATGTCTAAAAATATTTTATTCTAATATTTTTTTTCAAACTTTGAGAAATATTTTATCCAAACTCCCTGTGGGATCGACCTGAACTTTCCATATCTACGTGTTAGCTTACTTTATTATTTGGTGTTAAAACGATACGTACCAGTGATGGGTGGTATCAAACTTATTTGGGGTAGCATTGCAAGTAAACAAGGCTGAAGAGTCAAATAGGCCCTTGAACTAGTTTAAAGTGTTCAATTAGCCCCTTATATAGGAGGTTCTGTCTGGCCGTCGACAATTGGGGCGGCTTCCGGTGGAATTTTTTGATGAACTTTTTTGAGCATCTTCTTCATTAAGTCTAGTTTACCCATACCAAATTTGAGCTAAACATTCAGCCGGGAAGGCAGTCAAATGATTTTCCGAAATGTACTGCGTTGTTTAACTGCGCAGTTATCTTCAAAAAATCATTTGACTGCCTACCCGATAGAATTTGTAGCTGAAATTTGGTATGAGTAAACTAGACTTTATGAAGAAGATGGTCAAAAAATTTTATCAAAAAATTCCACCGGGAACCGTCCCAATTGACGACGGCCCGAGCAGAAGCTCCTATATAAGGGGCTAATTGAACACTTTAAATTAGTTCAAGGGTCAGGGGCTAATTGAACACTTTAAATTAGTTCAAGGGTCAATTTGACCCTCTAGCCATTAAACTATAATGGTGTGCTTATTTGAAATCTAAACGTGTTAAATATTGTGTCTATAAATTTGTGTATTTGTTGGAGTAGTACCTATAAATTAATTGTTGTGATTCTTAATTTTGGAACTATTTGCCCGTTTTTTTAAACAAACTTGTGGACATGTTATAGAAGAGTTGGAGATTGACACCAAGGGAAAAAATTGCAATATGCTAGTTAGTTTTTAAAGAGGTTGAATATATTTATTATTATTTTATTTGAGGCAAGTTTTTATTTATTTAAACATTATACGTACATTCCACATATATATATATGTATATGTATATGTATATGTATATGTATATGTATATGTATATGTATATGTATATGTATATGTATATGTATATGTATATGTATATGTATGTATGTGTATATATATATTAGAAAAGATCCTGTCCAGACGTCCGGACAGGAGCCGCCGTCCGGCCGGCGGCGTTTGGCCGCCTTCCCGGTGGAATTTTTTGATGAAATTTTTATGGCATGTTCTCCATCAAGTCTAGTTTATCCACAAAAAAAATCAGCCAAAAACTCAATCGGGAAGGTCGTCAAATGATTTTTTCAAGTTAACTGGTCCGGAATATGTATTTTCCGGACCAGTTAACTTACAAAAATCATTTGACGACCTTCCCGATTGAGTTTTTGGCTGAATTTTTTTGTGGATAAACTAGACTTGATGGAGAATATGCCATAAAAATTTCATCAAAAAAATCCACCGGGAAGGCGGCCAAACGCCGCCGGCCGGACGGCGGCTCCTGTCCGGACGTCTGGACAGGAGCATTCCTCTATATATATATATATATATATATATATATATATATATATATATATATATATATATATATATATATATACATATATATATATAGGGGAAAGATCAAGTACAAAGTATGCTTATTGTGCAAATATTTGTACGATGCACCTTGACGTTATTTGCATTGCATATTGAGGTTCAAAGTATTGCACATTATAAAGTCATAAAAATAACAGTTGCATATTAAGGTGCAACGAGTTGCACCCTAAAAAGTTGGGTTTTATTACAAAAATGCCACCTTGCCTTTATGTCCTTTGGATCAACTCATCGGACGGTCAAGATGAGTTTGTACTTTGTAAATTAAGAAGGCTTTGTATTTGATCTCTATTCTATATATATATATAGAATAGGAGTCCCAGGAGAGAAATGAGAACAAAATCTGACTCTCCATGTAATCAATTGAACGATCATAACAAAGCCACACATACTTCAACTGTCGACTCTTTAAAAGGAAATCATTTATTGATAGTAGTGATCTTCCGATTAATATTTTAGTGAAAGGGCATTTATGTAATCAGACACCACTACTAAATGCACAATTATGCACGTACCTACAAGTAAATACCTACATAACTTGCCACAGCAAAATCAGTTACCTTTTTCAATTTAAGATTTAAAAAAAAGTTATTCAATTTACAAATCAGTTTCTCGTAACAATAGAAGAAAACAACACTGACCTAAGAGTGCAACAAGATGTATATATATAGATGTGCAATGAATATGAACATATAAGTGCATAAATAGTTGAAAAATATGTCACAAATAGTCCCAGACTATTGTGGCATTACTAAATTTAGTCCCAGACTTTGTATTTGCTCATATTTAATCCTTCACTTATATGTATAGACCAACTTTAGTCCTATTTTGTTTTGGCAGTATATCATCCGTTAATTAAGACACACTGTACCATTCCACGACATTCTGTTTTGGAATGATTGACCCACGTCCCACAATGTGATCGTTTGGGAGAAGCTCCTGATCTTTCAACCGGATGAATTTCTTTTCTCCATTCTTGGATTAAAGCACTCTTTGATTTGTTCTTCATAAATTCACACTTGATAATCGAATTACTCTACACACTTCCAGTATTTGAAAACTATGGCATCCATCACAGTGACGACGGCAGCCGCCTCTTTCAGCAAACCTCCGAACTCCAGCGGCGCACCCCTCTTCATGAATGTTGCCTTCTTCCCATTCTCGTAGAAGAAACAGACGGCTCCACCCAAGAAGTCCAAATTAAACCTTCTCCTGCAAAGAAGAGCTTTGCAAGAGGTATGGGCCTGATAAAAGAATCTTTCTGTCGGAGGGACTTTCGGTCAAATCACAAATCCCGGAGTATTTGCGTGGTGAAGCTACTAGAGATTATGGTTATGACCCTTTTCGCGTTAGCAAGAAACCTGAAGACTTTACCAAGGATCCAGACCAGACCGTCATCTTGACAGTGAAGGAGATCAAGAACAGGGGATAGCCATGTTCTCCATGTTGGGACTTGGGATTCTTCATCCAAGCCTATGTGACCGGGCAGGGACCTGTAGAGAACCTTGTGACCCACTTAGGTGACCCTTCCGCCAATAATCTGCTCATTGTTATGGTTGGAGTAGCGAACTCCTACCCTGCAATTTTCTTTTTCTTTCCAGCACTCCCCCCCCCCCCCCCCCCCCCCCCCCTCCATTTGTACACCCACATTTCGCATGATGGGCCATGAAGGAA